CTGTTCGATGATGATGCATAGCGTGCTATGGAACACTCAGTGTCCTTTCTCGCCAACTTGTAACCACTTCATTTATGTATGGAAATTGCAAAACATTAGATGGAAAATTACCAAAATTACTAGAGTCAGTAACATAAAATGTGTAACTGCATTACTCATTGTATGGGAAATTTCAAGTCAGGAAGCACTGGTTGGCAATAGCACTCTTGGCGTCAAGTTATAGCAGACCATTTAAATACTGTCACTGGTATCTCACACTTTCAGTTTCTGCGTCGTTCAGTACATCGTCCACAATAATATTCCCGTGTATATCAGTGAAGCCAGAAACTTCGATATTATCACACAGAAAATATTTCATCTGAACTAACTATCATCGGGTTAATAAAAATTTACGATTTTTTGAGATTTCATACAAAAGTTTTCCTGACATCAGAGTTTCAGTTTTGTACAAATGTATACAATTGGTGGATGGTGGCCAGCAGTGGAATCCAGGATGCGCATTTCGTCCTATTTGGGACTCGTCAGCTGGATGCACCTGCATTTCTCAGTGAGTGATGATGTTCCCACTGAGGCTCGAACCCAGTGCCCATCATCAATCACTGAGAAATGCAGGTACATCCAGTCGACGAGTCCCAAATAGGACGAAATGCGCATCCTGGATTCCACTGCTGGCCACCATCCACCAATTGTATACTAATTAAATGGCCAGACATCATCGAGGTATCTGCACAAGAAGCCGACATGTCAATCTGAGACCGAGCACTTCGGTCCAATCAATCGAGGGGAAAATCAAAAATTCAATTCAATAATTTGTACAAATGTATTTAGAAATAAGGAATACTCTGACGAGTTTATAACTGAGTGAAAACACTCTAATAAATTGTCCAGATGTACACATTTTGGACATACACATTGAAAGCACAATAAAGAGGAATATAGCCGACTCCTTTCTACATACTTTCACAACATCTTTCCAAGCAAATTGTGAAGGTATATCTGAGTAATGACTGGTGTCTAAAAGAGGAATCCTCAGTGACAGATAACTGGAACTAATTAACTCATAATTACTAAACGTAATATATTCAACTGTAGCTGATTATACTACGGAAATGTTTCAATAAGTGACCTCTAGTCAATTAAATGTAGAATATTTAACCTAATGATCAAAACCTGTATGGAAGTTGATTAAATCGAATTAGTTCTAACAAATGATTCGTCTATTTCTTTTACAGCATGGAAAATTCAACACGTTCCCCAACTGATATGTGAGTTCTCTCACCATTGATTTCCATTGCATTAAGAATTTATACCAACTGTTCATTTTAATTCTCAGAAATTCATTTAACTTGAGAACGTTTTAAGGGTGTTTGTTGTGTGAGATTCCTCCTTGAACAACGTCGCCATTCTACAAGTTACCCTGATAATCATCCACTGATGACTTTGCTATGTCTAGATATGTGCCAGTCTAGATTTTGGATGCGCTAACGGCTTCCCACTTCTTCCTGATAAAGGTGATTTTCGTGTTTTGTCATATGGATTCATGTTTATGCTGATTATCTACAAGGAGGACTAATCACCGTCATTGTTTGTTCTATGGATGCAACACAGTACATAAATTGAAACTTTGAAATATCATAAACATAAATGTGTTGTTTCAAATGAAATCTCCAAGTGTGGTTGGTAGCCATATTTGAAATCTGTTTATTGCTACTGGTAATCATTGGGAAACTCATGGAATCCTTTGAAGTGAAGATGACAGTAAGACAATCTAGCGGCCTATCATCTCCAATAATTTTCCTGTTTCCCGTAGACTAGATAATGCAACAGAGAGCAGACAACGAGAAGACAAGCATAAATTGGACCCACACAAAATACTTGTAGGGTCTGGATTTCACCGACAATATGTGCCTGATTTCACATAAAATAGAAGGGATGCAAATGAAAAGCAACAAGTTGACAGAAGAAGCATCAAAGATGAACAGAGAGAAGACAGAGGTGACGAAGATTCCTGGCCAAAGGAAACAGCCACAGCAACAAAAACAGGCAACAATCAGCATGAATGGGAAGAATCTGAAAGAAGCAATCTCCTTTACCTATGTGTGAAGCACCGTTTCAACTACAGGCGGACGGAACTGATGACGATATCAAATTGAGGGTCGGGAAAACAAGGCAAATTTGTGTGGAGATCAACAGCACTGAGGATGAAAAATAAGACGCGGATTTTCAACTCCAATGTGGAGTCTGTGCTACTTTATGGATCAGCAACTTGGCACGTCATGAAGAGGACTTCAAACAAACTACAGACTTTCATCAACAGCTGTCGTCACTCAGTATTAAAGATCAGATGTCCAGAAATGATCAGCAGTAGGTGGATATCTCTGTCAATGCATGAACCAACCAAAGACCAACTGTGCAGCAAATATGCAAGAAGAAATGTAGGTGGATTGGCCATACTCAGGGAAAAGAAACCAACAGGTGACATCACATACCAGGCCATTACTCTAGTGGAACCCGATTTGGAAGCGGTGAGTTGGTCATCAGTGTGAGGGTGATATGGGATGGAGGAGGTGATGTGAAGAGAAGATGAAAGCATGCGGGTAGATGTGGGGCCAGGTGAAAACTCTAGCAGAGAACCGAACGCAATAAAGACGTGTGGCTAAAGCTCTATTTTCCTCTAGGAACCGAAGGAGATAATAGTAATAATACTGCTAACAATTAATGTGTAACCTATAAGACAGTTAACTCACTTACACTGTGTTAGCATAATCAACGTTATCGCTTTTAATTTCACTTTTACAATGTTGACTTTCACACGCTTTTCTTTTTCAGCGATGAATTCACCAAAGAAGTGATCCAGAGACTTTCTAATCCATATTACAGCTTGAATAACAGAAATGATGGGGAAAAGGTGAGTCTGATTTCAACATGATAATTTTCACTGTTCTTCAACGCACTGATTGTAAAATACAGTGTACATGTGTTAGAAAATAAAATTTAGTATGAATGTGTTGATACGTACAAGTGTGTGTTTATAAAGGGGTTCTCGTGACCAGTGAGATCCACGAAGTCAGGTAAGAGTACAGTAACTCGCATATAACGTTGACTGACGACTGCAATATATATATATATATACCACAAATTGATAGGAGTTGGAATTCATGGGCTGGTCTTCGTATCAGGATCCAATGGCTAAATGGGTTATGGAGTCGCTCTGTGACCTGAAGGTCCTTGGTTCGAGCCCCAGTAAGTGCCTACAGATGTGGGTGAGCATTCCTAAAGAGTATCAGACTTGAATGGAACAGCTGTGACTGTTGGTTCAGTGGTTCTGAAACCGATGAAATGGGGATCTGTGCAGAAATGATTTATCTTGCCATGACGCAGAGAAACACAAATTAATTGACATCACAGCCAGTGATGCTACTTGTTTGTGGTCCGAATAATTTAGTTCCACTAATATAGGAGGTGTTCAACATGAACTGTTGCTAGATCTTGAACTTTTTACTGTGGGATGCAATCATCCTCCTCTGGTTACATCAAGTGGAGTTTGTCCTTGACATTTGGCAACTACAAAGTACTCCGTTAAACTCGTATATTTTGAATAAACGCACTAATTTTAGGTTGTTTGAAAACTATTTCACACCAGTCAGATGGAATTATGATTAAGTATTCTAATATTGGAAATCAAAGTTAAAGTTTAAATGAATTTTCATAAATCTACTCAACCCACACTGGAATGCACAAATAAAATGAAGTGAGAAGTGGTTTAATGCGAATGTTTGTTTGAGCGACAAAATGCCAAGGTAACTTCAATTCACTCATCTCTTTGTAATGATCATACGTATGACTGCCTACAATGAGTTGTGTTGGAAAAGTGATCCATTTAATATTAATGTGTTTCTGTGTATTATTTCAGATAAACATGACTGATATGAGATCATACTTAAGTACCACAGTGCCTGAACAAAATATTCTTTTCACATAAAGTTCGATTTATTTATGCGAATAATTATAAGCTACTTAATTACGTGGATAGTAGCTATTGCAATTCGCGCGATTATTTTTGATTCCCCAAGAATTAATGTAACTGATTTTGCTGTCAAAAATCTTATCTTGCATATATATATATATATATATATATAAATCTTGAGAAGTCGTCAAAGATTACTTTTATGAATGTAGGTGATCACCTGGAGTGTTGTGGAAAAGGAACATTTTAATAATGTCCTCTGAATGGCACCCATAGTATAATGATGCCTGGTGCAAAAGATTTACTGATGTACAGTCACACGGACAATGGGGAGCATCTTACATTTAGAAATCTTGCTGATAGCAGAAGGTGAACCGATTATATACTCGAGTCCTTACATCTGAGACAAATTACACTTAATCCTCATCAAATTAGTCCAGAGATCTTGTCGTTTTTGTGAGGTATTTGGAGGCAGTCGGTAGGTAGCCTTGGATCTAGGTTTCGTGCTTGTCAAATGATTGAATTCTGTCTACGCCAAAAGAAGAATGACACATATGAAACTATTTACTGCCTAGTACCCAAGAAATCATCCATTGCAGTCTCACAGAAGATCAATTACGATGATGAATGGCTCAATAGTAGTGGTAATGTCTTTGATTGAAGAAGTGGGTGACTGTAGTTATACTCTAACGATCCAAACTGCACCGTGATAGCAAGCCAACTAGCACATTGGTGACCACATTGCAAACTTAACAGATGGAATTCAGTTGGCGTGAAACGAAGAACGGGACAACAGAGGAAATCAGCCAGTGCCTAGTGTTCAATCGGATTTCTTATAGTTATCGTGTGGATGTGCATCAGAACTGAATAAATAGTATTAGTGGACGATACTTATACATACTCACAACATACAAGTGAAACGTAAATACATGCGCCTTCATTTCATTACTGTAGAGATGTTTAGATATTCTTCTTCGAAACATGTTTTTCATAACTGTAAACATGAACATAACACATCTCATTTCCTTTACAGATACTGAGAACAGAGGCTGATTGGCTACAGTTACCACAGAATCATACACTCAAAGGGGAACTGAAGAACTTGCTAACTACCTCGAAGCGAAATTTGAAATGGCTTGACACCCACCTCCAGACAATTGTACAATGGTTGAAAGAAAACGTTCCTCATACAGAGCAAGGGGTCTAGAAATGTTACTCATTGTGGAGAAAATCGTCTCTAATTCCTACTTAGACTATGTAGCGTGAATTCAGCCCATGATCTCTTTTGACTAATTTTTCATTTGAGTTTCAGGAGTTTTTATTTTTACATATTTCACTAGTGATATTTCCCCGTGAACGCTGTATTGATTCAAAAGTTTCAATTAATGTGTATCTTCTGATTAAATATTCGAGGTGCAATTCTGATTTTGTTAACTAACAGATACTCCTTTTGATATTGAATGAATTTGAGTTTGATGGAGGGAGGAATGCTCACTGTTGTAAGTCACTTGTAATCCAGATGCTTGGAAACTGTCCTAACGTCGTCTTTTCGGTTATGCATTGTAAAAATTGGTGTTGTGTAAGGTCAACAGTAGGAATACATGATATTTTCCGGTGAACGCTGTAACATTTCAAAAGCCTTAATTCATGTGTTTCTCCTGATTAAATATTCGAGGTGCAATTCCTTTCTTTTTGTGTTAACTAACAGATACTCCATTTGTAAAACATTGTATTTGTAAAATCTCAGCGACATTGAAATGAGTAATTCCAACGTTTCCTTCGGCAATCTGGTCCGAACTTCTTCAGGGAAATTAATCGAAATTAACATAACAGAGGTTTGTATATGGGAGGAACATCTCTTGCTTTTAAAAACTTTGTCCAATCATAAGTCATAAAGTATCAAGTATCGACAAGTATAGTAAACAAAACTGTATGAGCTGTGATCAAAACTTGACCTCGGACTTACAAATATTGGTCTACCTCTGTTAAACACTTAAAAACACAGTGTGTATCTGTGGGTAAAACGTTGTAAAACATATGTTTGCTTCTGTATAGGAGGATAGATACAATTAGGAATTTAAACCAGTTATGATTAACTAGTGATACATATCCATTTTTTTATTGATCAGGACTTGCCATGCATCAGCTAATATCACATCTTCAGGTCTATTCACAATGTTAGTATCTAGAATTTTATGATTGGACGTATTTTCCAAATTATGGTGTTTAGGATTAGAGTTCAGTTGAAGCACCCTGTCGGACTTATTGTTTTGTCTTCTTTCTGAAGATTGAGCTGCTTTATTCGACCTACTGGGGTTTTTCAGGTGTCTCAACAGCTACGGATTTAGGATACGCATTATGTTGCAGACAACGGAGAGTGAAAACGCGATCATTGTACCATTTACATAGTTTTTTTCTTTATTAATTTAACTCGATTGCAAAATAGTTCAAGTGAACTGTCTTCAAAATTTGACAGAATGGTTCTAAAATATTTGGGTGCCAAGTGAGCAGTAGACATTTGTAAAAAAATATATTTGTAAAATCTCAGCGAGATTGAAATACGTACTTCCAACATTTCTACTTCTCATTCTGCGGCCAAATATTTTAGAACTATTCTGTTGCATCTTGACGACAGTTCATTTGAATAACAAATACTCTTTTCGATATTGAATGAATTTGAGTTTGATGGAGGCAGGAATGCTCACTCCTGTAGGTCACTTGTAATCCAGATGCTTGAAAACTATCCTAGCCTCGTCTTTTCGGTTATGCATTGTAAAAAATGGTGTTGTGTAAGGTCAACAGTAGGAATACGTGGTATTACAGAAAAATGGCGTGCAGACTTTTGAGAGAAAATAGGCAAAATACTAACAGACAGTTTAAAAGGTAATTGTATACAAAAGGAGTTAAGAAAACCGTCCTTATGATAAGATGCATAAAATAATTGTAATAAATAATGATCATAAACAAATTAGAACGAATTCCTTGAAATATCTTTCGTAGAAGGTATGGTTCTTCAAGGCAATAAGAGAGACGATGGCGTGGGGGGGGAGGAGAATTGTGTTTAACTTGTCCTAGTATAATTTAACCGATAACTTAATAATAAATAATAATAATTTTTCCTTCACCTTCTCAGTGGAACATAGGGCTTCAAGCCATTGGTTTGAAGTTTCTGTAGCAGTGTATATTTTTACGGGATGGAGTTGCCAGCCTCATACCTAACCTTTCCTCTTTACCAGCATTATTTCTGGCTCAGTGAGTTAAAGGAGTGCTCCGGCCAGGGATCAAACCCCGGACCATGTGCACGGTCGGCGAGCGTCTTAACCGCTATACCACCGACGCACTAACCGGTAATTTGGTGATAGAAAATTGTCCAACCATTCAAATGGTTCGACTTTCGATCCCCAGGCCGACAAGGCACTCGCAAACCTTGCTTAGATGGTAATAAGCCTGGCAGAGAAGGAAGGTTGGGCATGAGGCTAAAAATCCCACCTGGTAAAAATAAACACCACCATCTATCTTGGAGTCATATGTTCCGATGGGAACACAAAGGGATAAAATGAATAATAAAATAATAAGTATACTTCAGCGTTGAGCTAACCATCAGGTTATTTTCTCAAGATTTTTCAATAATGACCTCATAAATTCATACAACTATGTGTACGACCAAACGTTTCCCTAACTGGATGTTGCGAAAAGATTCATGGAGACATGGGAGATGCAAGAGATCGTTTCCCTCCAGAAATATATATGGCCTTAAGCATTTAGTAGGGATTACTTATTTACCTCTGAAGTGTGCACGTGTAACAGACAGAGCAACAACCCCATACAGATAGTGGAAACAGGACATCAGCCGAGTAGAGAACATACATTCATCACAAGATGAAATTTTAGAGTGAGCGTATACAGTTTTCAACTCCACTAGTATTTGTCGCTTTCTTTATTGTTAAGATCTTAAAATCGCCTTACTTTTTGTGTCAGATAATTAACTCCACAATCTCTCCATGGAGGAGAGAAAATGAAACATCAGTTAGTAATTATCTATACAAGTGTGTAATAATTATTTGTAATAGTAAATAGTATTTCACAATGACCGAATCATCACAATAGATCAACCAACAACACAGGGAGGGATGAATTTAGGAATTTATATTCGGCGGAATTATTTGTTATTCATATAAAAAATATTAACAAAAAACAATAAGTATTTAAACAATAGAGTAATAGAAGTTGTCAACCACCACATCCGCCACATGTCGAATATCTCCTCGCGTATTTGTAATGAGGTCTCGGTTCGCTTGCAAATCTCTACCATCTTCTAACTGATTCTGTGACATTATTTTCATCAATATCACCTGAAATTATTTCTGAATTATTTACAAAGTCAGAATTAGTAGCGGAATCATTAAAATTATAATCGGAACGACCTACTTCACTTATTTTCACTTCATCTAGGTGTCTGTTGTGAACTGAATGATCTTCGATGTCTAATATCTTCATCATTCTATTTCCGATTTTTTGTAGTATGATTCCAACAGAAGGTTTATGGTTATTCCCTCTATAATAATGCACATTAGAAGTCGTGGATATCAGATTTGTTCAGAGAATTTGAGATTTTAATAGCTTAGCAGGACTTTCATGGGTGTTTGTATGCTGCACATTGCAACGCTGAAGTAGGAAGTTATCTACACATGTTTCTAGTTTGTCAACGTTCTTAAGACTCACTGATACTATGGCACTCTTTAATGTTCGTACGAAATTTGCTGCCAACCCGTTAGACTGAGGATGATGTGGTGCTGTGTACAGTTGACAACAACCTATATGTTTAAGTCAGTCCTTGAAGTTCTCCTCAGTGAAATGGGTTAAATTATCATTAACTAATACATCAGGAATTCCATCTCGACTAGAAATCTTCCTCAAAACTCTGTGAGTAAATTTAGCCTTAGAACTATCTGTAATTATGACTTCTCGCTGTCTAGAATAAGGATTTACAATAAGTGAAGCTTAGTATGAATATGAGAATGGCCCACAGTAATCCGGATGAATACGCTGCCAAAAATGCTCACAAGATGCAGGTCATGGTTTCCACGATGACTTCCCATAGGACATTTTATGCAAACAACTAGAACAGCTCTTTGATTTTTTGTTAATGTCAGCATCACTTTCCGGCCACCAACATGTTACGCGTGCTACAGATTTCATGTTATACACTCCCAGATGAGCAGAATGGAGATCATCCAAAATCACAGATCTAAATGTTGGAGAAATAATAATTCTGTCGTTCAGACATAGGAGTCCCTCATGATGGACTGCAATCTCATCTCGTCGCTCATAAAAGTCAGGAAATCTTCGCTCACACTGAATATTCCAACCTCTTTTTGTTGCATTTACAATGCTCCCGTAATATTTTCGAGTATCGTGATTAAGTCGAACTCGATCCACGGGTAACGGCTGGACTAAGAAACAATCAGTATCTTCACAAGGAGAATTTTCAAATAATGAATAACGAGATAAGAAGTCTGCATAAGGTATATCCTTAGCTAATCTGTAATCAATCTTGCAGTCATATGGACAGAGTTCTACATTCCATCTTTGAACCATAGCAAGAGATGATCGATTCAAAGATTTTCTGGGTTGTAAATGAATTTCAAAGCCTGATGATTGGTAACTATGTGAAACTTAGTACAAAAAAGAGAGACTTTTGCAGACATCTTATTGCCAGTACAACTGCTAGAGCCTGTTTCTTTCTTTCTACTCTTATTCCCTCTTACTTAGACGACTTGAAATATAAATAACAGGTTGTCCATTTTGCTAAAGTTCGGCAGCTATACCCACAGAAGCAGCATGAACAGACTTATCTTTCGATGAGAAAAATATTAAGAAAGCTTGTCTGTTAAGAAACGTCAAAGTTCTTCTCAAGATATCCTCATGTTGTTGTCCACACATGAATTGTTTACTGGCGACAATATCAAAAAGCGGGATAACAGTTGAGTGAAATCGGGTATGTATCCGGGGTAAAACTGAATCGTATTAATCCGTGATCTTAACGATGACATATTATTAGGTGAAGGTGTTTGAATTAACGGTGTAAAACGACTAGCTTCAGGTTTGAAACCCTCGGAGTCCTAAGCATGATGCAGACGAAAAAGGGAAATGACATTTAGACGGATTAACAAGAATATTTTTCCACAGAAACGCTTGAACGGTTTCAAAAGACGCTCATAATGCGATTCGATGTTCGGTCCACGAACTATAATGTTGTCTTGGTAAGACTCAACACCATCTAATCCATCTATCATCTGATTTATTAATTTTTGAAATATTGTAGGTAAAACCCTTAAACCAAAAGGCAAG